AAAAAACTGAAAACTTGAGCGTGCATAACTATTCACCCCCCCAAAGTCAATACTTTGTAGAGCCACCTTTTGCAGCAATTACAGCTGGGAGTCTCTTGGGGTATGTCTCTATAAGCTTGGCACATCTAGCCACTGGGATTTTTGCCCATTCTTCAAGGCAAAACTGCTCCAGCTCCTTCAAGTTGGATGGGTTTCCCAGTCCCTGCTGATGAAAAACATGGTGTTCTGGAGGTGATGAGAGGTGTTGGGTTTGCGCCAGACATAGCGTTTTCCTTGATGGCCGAAAAGCTCAATTGTAGTCTCATCTGACCAGAGTACTTTCTTCCATATGTTTGGGGAGTCTCCCACATGCCTTTTGGCGAACACCAAACGTGTTTGCTTATTTTTTTCTTTAAGCAATGGCTTTTTCCTGGCCACTCTTCCGTAAAGCCCAGCTCTGTGGAGTGTACGGCTTAAAGTGGTCCTATGGACAGATACTCCAATCTCCGCTGGAGCTTTGCAGCTCCTTCACGGTTATCTTTGGTCTCTTTGTTGCCTCTCTGATTAATGCCCTCCTTGCCTGGTCCGTGGGTTTTGGTGGGCGGCCCTCTCTTGGCAGGTTTGTTGTGGTGCCATATTCTTTCAATTTTTTAATAATGGATTTAATGGTGCTCCGTGGGATGTTCAAAGTTTTTGATATTTTTTTATAACCCAACCCTGATCGCACCACTTTTCCGCTATTTATTTTGACCACGACTGTAGGGGTGTCTTCAGACAGGGTTGTGTGGCTAATGTAGGGGTGTCTTTGGACAGGGTTTTAGACTCACTAATCTATACAGTCACTAATGTGGCCAATGTACAATAACCTGTCTGTTTCAGGGGGGGAAAAAAGAAAGGAAATCAAATGAATTTATTTGAGGCAAAATAGAGGAATTTCATCAAAGGAAATGGTGTTTGACTCTCTTCACGCTCTGCAACAAAACTACTCAGTGAAAGTGGGACAATTTTGAGAAGAACTGAAAAGTTGAAGGAAGAAGAAACTTTCACTAATATATAAGGG